CATATTATGTAACAATTCCCGTCTCGGTTACAATAGAATTTTTTCAAAAAATTTGATAGCGCCATCTCTTTTATTAATGAGTGACATTAATTCACTATCGATAGTGGCTATCATACAAAGAGAAACAATAAATTTGACTCATCGGAAATCAAAATAACAGACATCAAGGCCGTGTATGTTTTGTATTTGAGATTAAACAATAATTTTATTATACCATGCTTTGATATGAACCACAATAACCAAAATAGCAATATCAATACCAATTGAACACTTTGTAAGACAAGTTCCTATTGTTAAAAAAAGAAGACTTGTTTTTTGATTTTTTTACCTTATTAGTCTGCCAGAAATATTGAAATGTCATAACTTTCAATCGTCACGGATAGATGGAGCCAGTTTTTATTCAAAAGAGATGACAACCACTAGTTCGCTGTGCAGACTGCCGCTAATAGGCATTCACAAGAGAGGTGTTACAGGGGTATTACCAATTACTGGGAAAGGGGGACTTCGTTCGCCACTTTCATCGGAAAAACACAAACGTGTATACTTGTGCTTAACACTGGTCTTTCTTGTTGCCGTTTGGCTTCCCCGGTCAAAGCGGCTTACTCATAAGCTAGAGCTATAAAAGTTGTAACCTTGTTGCACGTGAACATTCACACTCCAAAAGCAAACAAATCTTGCCTATAGGGTGAACTGAACCGCATGATATCATCGTTGGTTACAGTTGACCATTAATCATTACTGGTGTCAAAGAGCAGCTAAGCTCATATCATTTTAAGAAAGTTATAAAAGTAATGATAATTAAAGCGTCTCATCATAAAGAAAAACATTGAGGGCCGAGATGTATGGAAATAATAACTTGTTCTGAAATCGCATGCTTCCTGACTACTGATTTTATGCTGGTTTTGTTTTGTTTTTAAAGGTTTTACCTTTGAAAAAAATATTATAAATTAAAAACGAGATCGCAGTAATAATAGGTTCTTAACTCGATTTGCCTAAATTAACGGCTGTAGCTAGAAAGTTAGTAAGAGGTTGAAACAAGCTTAAAAAGACTAAAGAAAACTTGAATTTTATCAATATACATACTTTATTTTTTTTTTTAATGTGAAAAGTTGTCAAACGAGCAGACGGTTCACCTGATGTTAAGTGAATACCGCCGCCCATAGACATCTGCTACACCCGAGGGTTTGCAGATGCGTTGACAACCTTTTGAAAATTGGGCTCCGGTCACCTCACTCACCAGACGAAACGCGAAAGTATTATACTTTCACTTTACGCCGGTCTTCTGTGAGGTCGTGGTACTTACCCGGACGAGCCTGCCCTTTCGTGCAACAGCCGAGGCTGCTGCGTGGCCCTACCACCGTTTATAATGCGGTCATTAAAGATCGCCTACCTAACCTGCTCGTGAAGTCCTTAAAGTCTCCGAAATAAAACTGTTACTTCAGACAATAGAATATACAAGATAAGGTCTTTAAAGAAGTAACATCTACACTGAATATTATAAAATGCAATAATTATAAATAACAGTTTTCCATTGCATAAATTATAAGCAATTTAAAAAAATTCAAGAAAATCGTCCACTGACTGGGAATTCGGACTCGCTATTAACATGACAACTTCCAAGTTCCTGGTGATACGCAACAATTTACAACAGCTACCGTTTTTCTAATTTCTCACCTATCCCGGCCAATACTTGAGAGACAAAATACGTGCAGCTTATTTATGTGTTGACGATTTATAATCGTTTTTATAACTTAATATTTCTCAAAAACCTGAACCTGATACCGTTAAGATTCGACGATTCGTTAAATTCATAATTCACTTTAAAAATAACATGAAATCGTCTCCAGACAGTAGCTGTTTTAGTTTACAAATAAAGTCTCATCCATAGGTATTACGATGTCATTCGTTTTAAAATTCGACCATGCATTACGTCTAGATCTAGGCAGACGGAATATAAATGGTCTGTGGCCTAGAATTGCCTGCGTTAGATCAAATCGACTGCCTACGTGCTAGCTCGAAGTGATCAGAACAACAAAATTTTATGTCGAAGTTTTTTAAGAGTATTACGCGACATTTGTTTCCGTACCATTAAGTATAATGCAATAAATATCTGTCAACATTATATTGATGAAGATACTGTTATTTTTTTTAACTTTACGCCTTATTCACAATTAAAGTTTATAAATAGTAAAATGCTTCGTTCGAGAATTTTTTTTTTGTCATAATACCTTAATTATAATAATTAAAGTGTTTAATTTATGTACAGTTTTATCACATCTACTGTTGTGATGTAAATGTTATATAAATCTTTTTCTTATTGTTTATATAAAACTATAAACTTATAAAAACATATTATATATAGACAACAGTACTTCAATATTTTAGGGTTCTTTCTTCACATGCCCTCACAATACCTAGGTGGGGTGGACACAAAATGTCCATCATTTCGTTAAGGGTAACCGCTAGGTTTTGCGACCAGCCTGACGGACTCAACCTTCTTTGGGAACAAAAATCCAGATGCGGAACAACTATGTGCGGGTGCACAAATGCTTATTCCGTGTTGAAATCTCGGGAGGAGAGGATTGTGTGGTATTCTTAGCCACTAAAACCCACTACGTGAGCGGCACACTGTCGAGACCAGAACCGACGGTGACGTCGTTGCCAGCAACTACACGCTTCCATCTCCGAATAAGCTCTACCCACACCGGTTCCTGCTTGACAATCCCTTTCTGGGGCTGTGCAGACCAGCGCCATTAACGCGGATTTAGCGGGTTAAAGCAGCTGACTGATGTAGACAGGTCTCGCCCAATTCCCTGGACCAAGACCCGTTGCTCTGACTGCCACACAAGGCGCTCAGCAAGCGTGTGTTCCCGCCACAATGGTAGCACTGCATTGTCAGTTCGCTTCACGAGCATCCATGACCGAAGTAGGGGCACACACAACCGGTTCTGTGTTTGCTGGAATAGGCAGGCTTGTCCGGAGGAGTATCACCGTCTCACAGGAGACCGACGTGAAGTGGAAATATTTCGCGCATCTGCAAGCCTTCATCATGGGCAACGGTATTTACTTGACAACTTCTCACTTGTAAAATAAAAGAGTACCTGCGTCAAACGAAAGGTGATGTGTGCAAATCTACTCCTTAGCCAGGGTTCGAAGCAGGACAGAAGAAGTGCGGACTCATTGTCGCGAGTAATCCATATGGCCAAAGCCAGTAGATTGGCAACTGTACCGTCGAGTCATGATCAGAAGTAGCATTTTTTTCCGTATGTAACTATATAAGATTAGACTTCAATAGGTTATGCATAGACTAATATCGCTATAATAGATCCCACACAGGTGACATCGAATTACCGGAAATCATCGTGACAAGCTTCAGATAACAAAAAACACCTTTAGTTTTGCCAATTACCATAAGCACTTTAGGAACAAACTATTCATTGCATATTATGCAAATTAAATGACAATACAATTATTCAAATTGAACGCAAATTACTCACGTGTCATGCAGTTGAAGTTTAATTTATTATCTTATTAATTTAACTTAATCAAATTCAAGCATGTTACGGTAAATGAGCCTTACTCCAGTATAGACTGCAAATAGTTTCCTTTCAAATTTATTATTAACTACGTAGTGTTCGTTGTAGAGAAATAAACCGAAATTATAGTCAAATATAGAAAAGTCATAATAAGTGTTTATGGCATATCTTTTTTATTATACTGTAAGAGATGGTCAAATGGTTATGGTTATGGTCTATGGTTCATGGTTGTGGTCTATGGTTCCGATAGACAAGCTATCACCATCTATATAAAGATGGAACTCTATCAGGTAAATTAATTGTTCCTTAGCACTCGAGTAGTGCGAAAACTCTACTGATTCGCTAATCTAACTGTAACTGACGTATTTCTTGTTCCTAACATTTTTTAAGTGTTTTTACTTAAATTTTCCTTACAATACATTTTATTCATTATGCTTAGAATAGTTTGGAATATTCCAATACTAGCAACCCGCCGCGGCTTTGCACGGGTGCAATGTATTCTACATATAAAGCTTCCTCTTGAATCTAGCAAATAAAACCGCATCAAGATCCGTAGCTTAGTTTTAAAAATCTAACCAGACAGCGGTAGAATTTTGAATTATACACAAATATTATTTTGAAATATACAAAACAAAATATTATTTTGTTTGGTACAAATATTTTAAAAAACGTTTACCTATTAAAACTTTTTCATGGGTTAATAGTTCATATAAAAGAGTTTTAATGCAGAGTTTCTTCAAGCCAAGATTAAAGAAGTTTTTACCGTGCTACCACATGTGTTTACCATGTCATCGCATAAGATCAGAGCTATGGCTAAATTCTTAAAAATAATCTTTCTAAAAACAGGTTGATGATTATCCATTACCTGTTTTATAAATGTCCCTAATGCTCGTCTACTCGGCTAGATGATACTTTATTTTTTTCTTTCCTTTCCAAAAACGTGCATTTCCCAGTGACATTTAATTCAAATTAGAGACACGATGTGAGCGCTTTATCAAAATCACCATATTCGTGAGACCGCATTGTAATTCATATGCCCTCGTATTGCGTCCATTCGTTTCGTTTCTATACAAGGATTATGTTAAAATAATGCCGTCAGTCAGTTGTTTGTGCATCGCGCTGTCACTAACATTTCAATCGGGTAGGGTTTTTGCCGCGTGTTCACTTGTTGTACTACGGACATCAAATATTTATAGTCTCTTAACATCTTTATTGACGCGGCCCTGACGTCTCGACGGGAATAAGGGAAAGTGCGCGCTCAATGCTGTTTTCATTAAGTCTTCTTTTTAACCCAATACTTTGCTACTCGAAAAAAGTATACGCGTCCTGTGTGCGTTTTTGACACGCATTGACGTCACGCCCATAGGGACAATTAAGTGTATTAATACATTATTCGTGCGCGTTATAGATAACTACGCGAAAGTGACTCATTAGCGGGCGTGGACGCTTAAAGAAACATAACAAATGGCGCGGTTTAATTTCGTAGACACACTCGAGACTCGGCGCGTATCGATCACGGGGCCACTGGCGCCGGTCCAAGCCGCACCAAGTGGTGGGCTGCACCGGGGACATAGCGTGACAGGTGCGGCATGCAGCCGATGACTCGGACGCTCGCGTCGTCATCCGACAGTGCCCCTTTGATAGCCGCCGCGTGTCGCGCGACCCGTGCGACTTTTCACATGCGATCGCCATTTATTTACAACGCTATCACACTAGGCGGGGGCCTATTTCAGACCGCGATTTGTCCCCGCGATAACACGTGTCCGGGACCGTGAAATATATCGCGACACGTCCGCTACAATGCGTTTTACAAGCGCAGAAAGAGCCGACCGCCTCGGAAGCGGAATAATAAATCGAGCGACCGAGTGGTTTTTATTTCATTACACTTTTTGTTTTTAGTCCCGCTCGTCTAGAATCGTGCGCATCGCCTCTAGCCGTATATCACAATCGGGCGAGCGTAGCAAGGCACGAAGCCGATCGAGCCAAGTATTCATTGGCGCTCAAACGGGCATTCAGTTCTAAATAGTGGCGTGCCTCACGTTTTGTACTGGAAAGAGACCACGGTAAATAAACTTTGATGTGTAGCTTTGGTGTGTTCTAATTATTTATTTTGTAATTTTCAGGTACGGTGAATGCGAACGGGGAGACAAAGCGTCAGAGGACGTCATACACCCGGTACCAAACTTTGGAGCTGGAGAAGGAGTTCCACTTCAACCGGTACCTGACGCGGCGGAGGAGGATCGAGATCGCGCACGCGCTCTGCCTCACCGAGCGCCAGATCAAGATCTGGTTCCAGAACCGCCGCATGAAGTGGAAGAAGGAGCACAAGATGGCTTCCATGAACATCGTGCCGTACCATATGAATCCGTACGGCCACCCCTACCAGTTCGACCTTCACCCGAGCCAATTCGCTCACCTCTCCGCATAGGATCAGTGGAATTTTTCGAATAGTGGATAACTGATTTACTGAAGCGCACAGTCGACCGTCTATCGGACGGGGTTGCTGGTACCACCTGAGTCCTGCTGGACTCCCGATGTTACCGCAACCAGACTGGATCAGTTATTCGCTGTTCGAAAAATTTCCTATGTGTCAGAGTAATTTGTTGGAACAGTTGTTGTGACATTACCAGTGGACAATTACAGTTTATGTGTTTGTGCTAAAAGATGAAGATAATTGGAAGGAGTGCAACTTTAAGACCAAACATGTAACATAATTTAATATAAATCCTATGCTTAGAGTCTATTAGGCATCCGAGGCTTCGATCGGAAACTTGTTTTGAACGAAGATAATCTTCAATCCCCGTTAGGGTTACAGTGTTCCGACGAGAAAGTTGGAAACAGTGTCAAACATTGGTGTAGAAAGAATTTTACCTAGTCATAAGCCGTAATTTGATCTGCATTATATTCCTAATATTGTAAATTAATTTTAAATCAATGAATCATAGTGTAAATTGTGATGGCTAGTTAGTTGGTAAGGTAGATGTTGTTTGTTTCATTAGCACGGTACAGAGCTGAAGATGTTCGATTGAAAATTTGGTGACATACATAAAACATGTTTGCCGTCACTTCACGCAACAAATTCGGAAATGTACAGGGATTAAGTAAATATTGGCGAATGTGTCCGTATATCATGAAATACGGTTGCGTTTAATTTCGTACTAGTGAAGTCAACTGTTGGTCACTTGTTTTATGGGCATTGCTTGGAAATGCGCTGTGAAACTACTTAAAAATGTAAGCTCATTTAATAGAAAAATAACTAATGTGAATAGGTAGAAGTTTCTTCTTTTTATTGTATATAAAATTTCGTCACGTAGTTGGTATGGTGGAAATTTTAATATATTATTCAATTTAGTACGTCGCAAAGAACTGTTTTATGTTCCTGTTCTTAGTTGTAAATAATGAACTATTTATGTCACCCTAAATGCGGTACGTCATAATTTCATCATTCGAACTATAGCTATAGTGTATTTTTCTTTATATTCTTCACGAACGATACCAATTATTACACGTGACTATTACGTACTATACAATTTTAATGTCGTATTTATAAAACGTACTTAAATATGCTTAGCTTGTAAAATCATCATTTTCTTTAATAACTAACATGTCCATAGCAAAAAATTTGTTTTCAACCTCTGTTCCATTGAGGATATGCATTAAAATCTTAACGTTTTGTTGTTTTAGAAATGTCGTGGTCAACTGTGATATTTTGTTAAATTTTATTCTTAAGTGAAACAGAGCGATTTGAGTTTTGTTCGTAGAATTCCTTCCTGGCAAGTGTGTTCGTAACTGTTTTTATTTCTTCAACCGGTTCATTTGTTTCTTTATTTATTGTTTGTAAATATTAGAGATAAAATTAGCGTAATTCAATTTAAGAATGTTCAAATCCATTACAACTACGCGCTTAAGTGATTCTATCGGCTGCATCATTGATTTTATTTTGTTCCAATTACTGTGCAATAGGACGTTGCCTGGTGTTTGATGTTTCCTGATCTTCCTTATATTTTGTATGATACTGTTTATTTAGTTGTGTTATTTCATTCTAATTAATAAAATAAAAATATGTTTATCGTTCATTCCAATTTAAATGAGAACTGTAGGGGAGCGCGCTCCGCGATCATTTAAATTATTGTATTGTATGAATAAAATGTACTAAATTTGAAAAATTGGTGAAGATGATAAAATAAATTATGATGACACCTAATTGTTTGATTAAGATTACCCACGAGTAGTGGTACTAAAATTTTATAATGCAATAAACGAGGGGTAGTTTTAAATCGATGCGAGATTTCACATGGCGCGCGATTCCCTTCCACGTATTTCGATGCTCGACTTCGAACGGCCAACTGGGAGCGTCAGTTAGACGCCGCTCGGTTTGATGGCAGCATTGAGTGATGATAAATGATCCGCCACCGATGACACGACAGCCGAACCTGGGGCGCCAGCACGTGCCGGCAACAAAGGAGTGCCGAAAAAATGTGAAGGTTGCCTCAGTTTGTAGGTCGCGGGCCGCGTATCGGAGGCTGAACCTATAAATCATCCCGTCCGAATATTTTGTTTTGTACGCTCCACTCCGAAACAGTTGCTCGTTCGCGTGAGATTTCATGCAGCGAGCGATTGATCCAGATTTGGAATAGATTGATAGCCTATTTAACATCATTTATCCAAAAAAATCTTATTTTAAGTTTCGTCACGAGTGCGGAGACTAGCTCTAAAAATAAAAAATAATTCTAAAAACTTTAAAAGCAAAGGCGATGTCATTCGTTACAAATTTTCATCATTAAATGTTCTTTGTGAGGTGTTTCATACTGTAAAGTGTTCTGTTTCGACTTGTGAGTGAGGCAGCCGGAGCCCATTTTGGTAAATGGTGGCAACGCTGCAGATAGCTTTACGGGTGTTGCAAATGTTCAAGGGTGGCGGTTATCTATCTATATATATATATCTTAAGATCAGTGATGAAATTCAATGAATTGATACTTCGAAAGTCCATTTTCGTTGTTCGATCAAAATTATTCATCAGAGGCATCAGAGGCATAGATGATGATCTCTATTTCCTAGCCCAATAAGTAGGTAATTCGGTACAGAATTATTGTGTCGCCGGAACGAACAAACACTTCAAAAGGCACGAACACTTCCAACGGCGTGCCATTCGAAACCACGGCGGATAATGTATCGCAACAATGAGTAATATTATTAATGTTGCTCTGTCCGTCTGTCCGTGGACCACTGGGCGATTACGAGATAGCAGGCATTAAGGTGTGCGGTTGCGAACCATTTCTCATCGCGCCCGGCGTCGCACGGGACCTTGGGGGACACCGTTCCGACGAGTACCGATAAGATTCCATTTGCGTTGTTTTGAGGAATTATAATTGATGGATGAGATGAGAGCCGGCGATTTTGTGAGTAATCTTAACAAGCCTTCGAGTGAAGCATTTTGAAAGGGCCCGATGCATCCGGACAAATTGTGCAAAGTGATATATGCGACAAGGAAACAAAATGTTTATAACAAAGTGTTTCTCTGAGAACTTTAACATAATATGCTATCTTTAATAAATGTTAACAAACTAAGTTTATATCACCGTTTGCATTCTTAGCATAAATATAGAAATATGATTCTTTTAAAATATAATAATTTTGCTAGTTAAAATTATTCTATCCTTTAATATAGCATGTATGTGATCAAAATCTGTAGGTTCTTACTTTATAGACTCGAAACGGTGGCCTGGCTCTACCACATTAAGAATGGGCCAGCTCATCCAGGGAAATACTTCGACCTAACAGATCAGCTTAAAGTGAACAGTTACCCTTTTGCATATCGTCTGTTGTGAGGTGATCAAGACCCACAATTTTTAAAGCTTGGCAACGCACACTCTAATAATTGTTCTTCTGTTTAAAATTGCCTTATTTGAGAAAAAATATTTACAAAAAATCATATTGTATTGAAAGGAAATACATATAACACTATGCCGTGAAATCGTCAACATCGATCGATTATTTAATGAAGTTTTAATTAAGCGTAGTAAATTCCATTGAATAGTTTACGAACGTTGGTGTTTATTACGTTAAACTCTGAAGTTCCCTTTAAGATAATATATGGAGAAATTACTAATCAGCACAGACTGACAAAAACATAGATATAGAATAAAATGGTAATTAATAACTGCTTTTGCCAAGATACCTAGCTGATATCCTATAAAAAGTAGAAGGTTCTTAAGTATAATATACATATACGCTTAGTAAAATATTTTCAACAATGAGGCGGTAGAGAAATGATAAATATATGTTACAATAAACACTGAATGTCTTCATTGAAAACTATTCAAGTGAGAAAACTCCCCGCATCGAAAAAACTCCCTCAGTATGGACGAACGAATATAAAGGCTCTGTACAATCGTGGACAAGAGATTCATCAATCACCGCTTCATTACTATTGAAGAGCGAGTCTTAATACATTGTTCATACTTTATACTATATATTTACTAGTATTTTATAAGATGTTTCAAGAAAATAGCAATGGTAATGAATTAACGGTGATACTTAGTGTTTCTATTAATCTATAACCAGATTAATTATATTACTATTATTCATAAAAATTTAAGTATTTTGAATTATTATTTGTAAAAGGAAAAATGTTACGGAATGTTAAGTAAGACGAAGACATAGTTCGAAAAGAATATTTATTTTAAAGAAACAAAGGATTTAGGTTACCCGGGCGCTCACTTAGAGTTCGATACACTTGTACAACTTAAGTTCAAATCCCGGTGGGGAGTTACCAATGAAATTGTTATTTGAATTGTTGACTGTTCATCTGTGGGCTAGCGCCTATGTAAAAAAAAGCCTTCACCTCCTGTGGGACATATAAGGATTAATCCCTTTAGGTAAATTAAGTAAAAAGGTAATCTTATCCTTATAGTTATCGCTTTAAAAGTTGTTTTGTAATAATGACAAGGGAAAAAATATGATAGGAATTTCATTTTCTTCAATAGGGTTGAACAGTTTATCAAATCTTATGTATTATTATACGGACTACAATTTCAATGAGAATTATCTAATAAACATTAAAAATTGAAAAACATAGTTTCATAACAGTGTTTTTGTTAATGTTTATCTACATTCTTATTAACATCAATGCCCTCTTTCTAAAACCATACAAAATACTAAGGCTGCTAGAAAGTTTATTTTATACATCTGCCATTTATTGGTGTTACTACATGAACCTTAGCCCAAAAAACGTTAAAAAATCTTGGTGTATTTGAGTTACATACACATAATACACTTAAAATTATTTAAATTTCATCTCTTGTTTTATTTTCTCGTCAGATCGACGTTTACACATATAAGGCATAAGCGACATCTATTCCCAAAGTTTTGTATTAAGCTTACACATTCACCATCCTAAGCGTTAAAGCTGCCAAATTCGCTACA